TAATTTTTCAGTAGTTTTCACTGTAAGTTGGAAAGTCTTCCATTATTGATCGTATTTATCCAAAGAGCCCCCAGGTCAGTGGAGAACTCTATTTTTAATGAATCAGAGCACACAAAAACATTCCATTTAAATTGACAATATAGTCAGAGGAAGTTAAATTGTAGCATATATTTTTTCCATCTTGATATGTTCTCATCAGATCATAATTGTGAAAAACATAATGGAGGCTCAGAAGTCACTATTAAAAAAATCTGTTTGGGCCCTGGCCAGTTTGGCTCAGCAGTTAGAGCGTCAACCTACGGTCCAGAGTGACCCGGGTTCGGTTCCCACTAAGGGCACATACCTCGGTTGCACTTTGTCCCCAGCCCTGGTTGGGCTGTGTGGGTGGCAGCCATTCAATGTGTTCCTTTCACATGGATGTTTCTCTCTCTTTCTCTCTCTTCCTCTCTCTCCCTCCCACTCTATCTGAACAAAAAGTGGAAAATGTCCTCAGGTAAGAATAAAAAAAATCTGTTTGGAGATGATATTTCTTTACATTGACTGGAATTACAAAAGTAGGCCTTTCTGCTCTGAGGTATGGCTTCCTAACTTCCTTACCCCTGCACTATGCTGGTAACATTGTTTTAAGATGTTAAGGATAAAGTCAATTATTTACAAATAAACTGGAAGTCCTACTGCTGAGAACTACTCTAAAATGTGCCTCAAAAAAGAGACATGTAACTTTAAGAAGGAGAAAACTACACACATGTGTGATTAGGTTGTCTTTGATAATCTGTGACCTCTGGTTGAGTTCTCACTCCTTTGGTACCCTGCCCATAACTACAGTTCACATAAGGGTCTAAGTGAGCAAATGTGGTTTTAAGAAAGAATATTTCTGTGACCACCATCTGGCACTACTATAATGGAAGAAAGCACAACATGGAAGAGTCTTTTGTTATTAAAAACACCTCTGCAACGTGTTACTTCCTTCATGGCTATATAATCATGCTGTCTAGAAACTAGAGTTCCGATGTAACCTGCCACTAACTGGAAGATGCTAAGCTGCCACCCAGTTACTGGGTGGTTGGCATGTGATTATTTTGATGACCAATGATAATCAATTTCTATGCAACATTCCAAAGGATTTGAGTTGGCTTAGTTTTCTATACACCATCGCAATAATTTTTATTTTAAACTACAGCATATGGTGAGAAACCATCTTTTCTTACCCTGGCATAAGTGTGCTTTATTACATTTCCTTCTGCTCTAATCTGAATGAAGCAAGTGCATACACATTCTGATTCAGAGTTTTCAGAGGAAACCTGTGCATTATCACTAATTGTTTTACCACTGATCCTTTATGCAAGGCAAGTATGAGGTGCATTTTATAACTAGATATTACCCTTAGGATAAAAGCGTCAATTAAAAAAATAACCTTCAGATCTGCTGCTTTAACTCTATAAAGCCTAAAACACTTGTATCTACCTACTATAGATGGACTTTTTTCCATGATATTCCAAACTCCCATTGTAACATGGGTCCTTTTTATCATAGCAGTGATCATGTTGTGACTTCATGTATTCAATCTTATCTTAATCAGTGGTTCTCAACTTTGGATGCACATTAAAAAATTCTGAGATTGGTCCAGCTGGTGTGGCTCAGTGGTTGAACGTTGTCGACCCATGCACCAAGAGGTCACCTGTTCAATTCCTGGTCAGGACACATGCCCAGGTTGTGGGCCTGATCCCCAGTGGGGGACATGCAAAAGGCAACCAATCGATGTTCTCTCTCATCGATGTTTCTACTCTCTCTTCCTACCTTTCTCTCTAAAATCAATAAAGGAAAAAAAAATTCTGAGATCTTTTTATGCATACTCTTTTCTAGGCCAATAAAAACTAACCTTTATGTGTTTGTTCTTGTGTTAGGGGTAGCGGTGGGGAAGAGGGAGAACTCATATTGTTGTTTGTTTTTTAAATATGTTTTTATCAATTTTTTAGAGAAAGAAGAAGGGAGAGAAAGACAGAATCATCAATGTGAGAGAGAAACATCGATTGGCTGTCTTTTGCATGCCCCCTACTGGTGATCGAGCCTGCAACTCAGGCATGTGCCTTGACTGGGAATCCAACCAGGACCTATCAGTCCATGGGACAACACTGAGCCACACCAGCCAGGTGTTGTTGTTATTTTTTAACTTTAAAGCTAATTCTAATGTACAGCCAGAGACAAAAACCACTGTCCCACATTGTTAGCTGAAGGAAGAGCAGGACTATTTCTGTATCTTGTTGCCTAGAAAATTCATGTTGAATAAATGAATATCACACTGTTGTCATATGCAGCACACTGCTTTGTCAACAAAGCCCATACAGGATTTTAAGAACCTCTCATATTTGAAGCTAACCTTGGACAACTGACTCTGACTGTTATTTGTGATAAAATAGAAGTTGATGATGTTATAACATTAGTTCAGGTCTTCTTCAAGCTTAAACTGCCACTCTGAGGTGGCCTCAGCTGCAGAATGCTATCCACACCCTCTGACTACCAAATCCCCAGAGAGTGCACAGACAGGAGAAGGTACACGCGGAGGGGAGGGTAAACTGAGGTGCTCTTCCGATACCTCCTCTACTTTTTCAGGTCCATAAAACTTAGTGCATTAACAAGAGGAGTGTTGACCTTTTCATTCCCTCATATCAAAAAGTGATTAGCCAGTGGCTCAGTTGCCTGGAGTGTTATCCCATACAACAAAAGGTTGTGGGTTTGATTGTCAGTCTGGAGCATGCAGGAGGTAACTAATTGATGTTTCTTTCTCATATCAATGTTTGTTTGTTTTATTTTTATTTATTAATGTGTTCTTGTTACAGATGTTTCTCATTTTTCCCCCAATGACACCCTCCTCCCCTTCCCCTCAACCCCATCCCCAGCTTTGTTGTCTGTTTATTGGTCATGCATACATGCATGTAAGTTCTGTGGTTTATCTCCTACCCCACAAAACCCCCTTCCTCTGAGGCTTGTAGGTCTGCACCCCACCTCTATGTCTCTGGGTTAATTTTGTTCAGCAGTTTGTTTAGTTCATTATATTCCACAAACGAATGAGATCGTGTGACATTTGTCTTTCTCTGCTTGGCTTGTTTCGCTTAGCATAATATTCCACAGGTCCTTCCATGCCATCTCAAAGGATAAGAGATTTTTCTTTTTTATAGTTGCATAGTATTCCATTGTGTACATGTGCCACAGCTTTTTAATCCACTCAACATCATTTATTAAAGAGACTGTCTTGAGTCCATTGTATGCTCTTGCCACCTTAGGACTCTAGTACACTGCTGGTGGGAATGCAGACTAATGCAGCCACTGTGGAAAACACTATGGTGTTACCTCAAAAAGTTAAAAATTGAACTGGAATTTGATCCAGTTATCCCACTTCTAGGAATATACGCTAAGAAACCTGAAACACCAATCAGAAATGACATATGTACCCCGATGGTCATAGCAGCACTATCTACAATAGCTTAAGATCTGGAAACAACCCAAGTGTCCATCAGTAGATGAGTGGATTAAAAAGCTGTGGTATATGTCCACAATGGAATACTATGCAGCTCTAAGAAAGAAAAATCTCTTATCCTTTGAGATGGCATGGAAGGACCTGTGGAATATTATGCTAAGCGAAACAAGCCAAGCAGAGAAAGACAAATGTCACACGATCTCATTCGTTTGTGGAATATAATGAACTAAACAAACTGCTGAACAAAATTAACCCAGAGACATAGAGGTGGGGTACAGACCGACAAGGCTCAGAGGAAGGGGGTTTTGTGGGGTAGGAGATAAACCACAGAACTTACATGCATGACTTACAGCTACTTGCAAAAAAATGAAGCTAGAACACCAACTTACTCTATACGTGAGAATAAACTCAAAATGGATAAAAGACTTAAATGTAAATCGTGAATCCATAAAAATTCTAGAAGAAAATGTAGGCAACAAAATCTCAGACATCATACACAGCAGAATTTTCACTGATACAACTCCTAAGGCAACAGAAACAAAGGAAAAAATGAACACATGGGACTACATCAAACTAAAAAGCTTCTGCACAGCCAAAGAAACAACCATCAAAACAAAAAAGGAGCCCTGGCCAGTTTGGCTCAGCGGTTAGAGCGTCAGCCTGCGGTCCAGAGAGACCTGGGTTCGGTTCCGCTAAGGGCACGTGCTTCGGTTGCAGTTTGTCCCCGGCCCTGGTTGGTCGTGCGGGTGGCAGCCACTCGATGTGTCCCTTCACGTCGATGTTTCTCTCTCTCTCTCCCTCCCACTCTATCTGTACAAAAAATGGAAAAGTGTCCTCGGGTGAGGATAAAAAAAAAAAAAGGATTCCAATATATGGGAGACCATAATCGCCAATGGTGCATCAGATAAGGGGTTAATTTCCAAAATATATAGCGTGCTCATACAACTCAACAAAAGGGAGACGAAGAACCCAATTAAAAAACGGGCAGAGAACCTAAATAGAAACCTCTCCAAAAAGGACATACAAATGGCCAAGAGACATATGAAGAAATGCTCAACATCACTAATCATCAGAGAGATGCACTAACAGGTATCACCTCACACCTGCCAGAATAGCCGCCTATAACAAATCATCAAACAACAAATCTATCTTTCCTTCTTTCTTTCTTTCTTTCTTTCTTTCTTTCTTTCTTTCTTTCTTTCTTTCTTTCTTTCTTTCTTTCTTTTCCTTCCTTCCTTCCTTCCTTCCTTCCTTCCTTCCTTCCTTCCTTCCTTCCTTTCTTCTTTCCTTCCTTCCTTCCTTCCTTTCTTTCTCTCTCTCTCTCTCTCTCTTTCTTTCTCCTTCCTTCCTTCTTTCCTTCCTTCCTTCCTTCCTTCCTTCCTTCCTTCCTTCTCTCTTTCTTTTATTCTTTCTTTCTTTCCTTTTCTCTTTTCTCTCTCTCTCTCTCTCTCTCTCTCTCTCTCTCTCTCTCTCTCTCCCCCCTTCCTCTCTCTCTAAAATTAATAAAAATATATCATCAGGCGAGGCACTCTCTTTGGTAGCACATACACTAAAATTGGAATGATACAGAGAAGATTAGCACAGTTCCTGTGCAAGGATGACACAGAAATTTGTGAAGCGTTCCATATTAAAAAAAATTGTGGTGAGGTATAAAATTGCTAATTTCCTACTTAAGATATAGAGACATTTGCATATCCACAGATAGTGACATATATTCCTAGTCCATCCACATTATGGGTCTGGGTCTGATAGAAGCACCAAGGGAGATGATGAAGAACACTATTTGCTCACCTTAATATCAAAATCAAAATCACCATCAGGATAGTGATTACTTCTGGGGGAAGGCACATACAAGAAGGGTAGCTGAAAAACATTCTAGTTCTTGACCTGGGTGGTGGTTACTGGGTTTGCTCTCAAAATAAGCCATTAAGCTACACATTTGTTTGGTGTGGTTTTCTGGATCTGGGTTTTATTTTATAATCAAAAGTTTACATTAAAATTAAAATGTATTAACATTCAACTAATAGTTTATACTAACCTTAAAGTAATTCACCTCACTGTAAAAATAAGTATATGAATCGATACAAAAATCTACATCTGAATTCAACTTATCTTTTTAAATCCATTTACATATTAGTTATTACTACCTGTGGGATTATTGGGCTCTCTAAATGTGTTCTTCCCTATTCTTCCAGGCTTCAAGGGGAGTTCCTTCAGTTACCACGGTGAAACTCAGAGAATACGTTTGTACTTTCTCAATAGAAACCATCTGTGACATCAGTGATTTCTATCATGTGCCTGCTCTCCTCCCTCTTTCCAGGTGAAGAGTGCAGCTTTTCAGCCTATCATCAGAGGACAGCAGCCCCAGACACCCTGAGCATCTTACTTCTCCTCTAGCATGTAGATTTAGTGGGGAGTATGGAATTCAGGGGCAATTTAAGTGGTTTCTCCCAGCTTTCCACTTCTTCCACCATTCTTTTTCCTCCTACATAAAACTTAAATTCTAATTATGGAATAATTTAAGTGGCTCTATTTTATTCCTCCCCAAACCCTTGATTTCTCCTTGAAACTCCTTTGTGTCTGTCAGTCAGTTGACATTTTCTGAACATCCAAGTCTGTGCTGTGTGAATTTCGCCAATTTCTCAGAGTGATTCTGACTTCTCAGGGCTTTCTTCTTATTTTACCCTTTTATAGTTCCTTTCTCTCCTTTCTTGGTAACTATGTCTTCCAAACCCTCTCTTTCCTCCCACTGTTTCCTGAAGGAATTAATGAATATCTATACACTCCCTCTGTTAGTCTTCCACTCTCATACCTACTTCTCACCCCTGCCACAGCTACATATTTCCTGAAGTAAATTGGATTACTCACTGCATCCGATTGTCATTGACAGACATTCAAGTTCATATCCCCTCAAGCCTGTTTTAATTTATTAGCTTGAATTCTAACTTTTGGAATTCTATTTGACAAAGAATATATTTAAATCTGTATTGGTGATCATCCTAATAATAATTCCTACTCAAAACGTATTTTACTAATGAAGTATGTGTGTTATCTAAATGAAAGCAATGCAGTAATCTTCTTAACCCTCCAGTGAGCCAAGGAGAAAGTATAATTGTTCCCATTTTGCATATGAAATCACTGAGGTAAATTATGCCCTTTTCCCCAATGGCTAAATAGAGCAGGAAGGAAATAAAGGCCAGACTCCCAGTTTTCTGCTGGGCCACGAAGAAAAATTTCTTAAAACTCAAGGAAATTCAGATAAACCCTTTGTGCCAATGACTTCCCATTACCTCCCTTAAAATGATTATAGTGAATATTTATTCAAGAATTTCTGAAATAGCTCATGTATGTCATGCTACCCTGAGGAGGAAATGTCAAATGACTGGGAATAAGAGAAATGTCAGGAAGAACATGACCCACAGAAGTGATTAATATGGAGTTTATCCATTGAGATATAAAATTTAAATGAAAATCCTTGACTTAATGCAACCTGAGGATGAAGAATCCCTGGAGATACTTCTAAGACCTGAAACAGTGCTTTTCTGGAATTCAGAGACCTGATTGAACTTTCTCTCACCTTCTTTCTCCCATACAGGGCTGCCCCTGACTTGAGAGGCTGTGTCACATGAGGAGAAATAAAAAATCACTCCTAACTTGATTCATACAGGAGAACTGGGAAGAAATAGAAATGATTCCCCAATCAGGTATAACATTACAGGTACAATAATTGCAGAATTGATGGAGACAGAAAAACACAAGAAAGAAATAACAAATTAAAACTTTATTATTTATTTTCATTATTTTTTTAGCCTCACTGAGGACATTTTTCCATTTTTTGTTCAGATAGAGTGGGAGGGAGGGAGGGAGGGAGAGAGAGAGAGAGAGAGAGAGAGAGAGAGCGAAACATCGACATGAAAGGGACACATCGAGTGGCTGCCACCCACACGACCAACCGGGGCTGGGGACAAACTGCAACTGAGGTACTCGCCCTTAGCGGGAACCGAACCCCAATCTCTCTGGACCGCAGGCAAACGTTCTAACCACTGAGCCAGACCGGCCAGGGCGACAAATTGAAACTTTAGCGTTACACTCTGTTTTAGATATAATCTCTGGCTATTATAACACTTAATAGATAGGCAAGGAGACTATAGAAAAATCTCTTGATGCAGGTCAATTTGGCATTGGATTTCTATATCTTGCTTGTTATATCAATTCAACGACATTAAGTGGTTTTGGGTTTTGGTTTTTTGTTTGTTTGTTTGTTTGTTTTTTACATGAACCAGTTTATTTCTCCCCCCAGTTAAAGCAGTTAATATTGTTTAACTAGATTTTCCTTGTATCCAAACCCAGTTCTTAGCACCTTATTTGCTCATAATTCCTGCTGACTAGCAGGCCATTTACAGCAGTAGGTTTGTCTCAGTTATAAGTTGTATTTCCCATATTTCTTATTCGAATTATATCACTATTATTATTATTACACTCTTGTGTGTCAGTAGAGTCCTCAAAATCTCTATTTCTATTTTACTTTCAGGAGAAATTCACTCTACCTTTAGCCTTCTTTCTTCTACTATTCTTGGAACTATAACCACGGTCAATCTTTGCCAAGGAATAAAGGGAACTTTGAGAGGACTTCCTCCCATGTTGTACGTACTTTTTATACAAATCAAGATGTTATTATTCTGAGTGTTTGTCTCCCAGCTTATGAGACACATTAATAATATTCAGAGTCAGGAAAACATTTTCCTGGACCTTCTAGAAAACTGCTCATTTTTATAAATTCATGAAACCTAAGTGAGAAGGCAGAATTTTTAGGCAAAATGATAAATATCCAGAATAGATATACCAACAAATTCCTCTGAACAAAGCTTCAGGGCAATAGTCGCAAGTGCAAAATAAAAGTATTGAGTGGATCGCATTGATTCTGGATCTCTGATATATTCTATTTCCTAATCCCTTACTTCATTCTCAGAACTCAAAAAACACTTTGGTCCTAATAACTACTCTAGGTAACACAATACCCTTTAGGGGTGTTAAGATTCCTTTTTGGAACTGGATTGGTTGAGAAAGAAGGAAAAAGAGCCAGGCTCATAGTGCATATGTACACATATTATGAAAACATGTGTATATCTATGTTGCAAAATGAGAAAAGAAAAGAAAAAAGTCAGTTGTAGAATTATTTTTTATGTCTGACAGGAAACCATTTTATTATTTTTATATTGAGATTATCATCTGACCACTATCCCAAATACAGGCATTCACAGCTTTTTGCTATGAACATGGAAAACCATTAGTGTTGATAAGCTGATCATATTCTCAAAAGGTCAGGATTTGCTCTAATAGTGCTTTTTCTTTATCATTTGTCATTTCTATGGAATCTTCTTAACTTTTGGTGTCACATATGTGTTTCTCACATCTAGATTGACATCCTAACTTCAAAAGCAGGTTTTATAAGTCTTGTTGCTCAAATGCATGAAATAAGATAACCTATTTTTAATAATTAAAAGTAAGTTTATGAAGGAAAGTATCTGTAATATTGAAAATGCATCAAAATACTGATCACTGTTTTCCTTTGATGTTTATATTTGGAAGTTCTCTCCAAATTTGGTGAGGTAAACATGGACAGATATCATCAATCTTTGGTGAGGTGAAAATGGGCAGGTATTATTAATATCCTTCAATAGGTGGGGACACACAGAAAATTCCTGAAAGAGTCATCTGAGGATGAAAGTTAAATCTTATTCTCAGTTAATGTTATCTTATTTTGAATCAGTGTCTGAGGAATGTAATGTTGAAGCATAGGTTAGTACAGCTTCAAGTTGTGATCCAAACTCTCTCTCCAACTTTGGTTTAGGAATGTAGATGGAAAGAAAAAAAAATGGAAGGGACTTGATGTCTGAATTGGGAGTCCAGAGACGAAGGAGGAATCAGTTACCTTCCTTCTCCCCTACTGTTCTTGGCTTTCATAGTCTTCTATCCCAGATCTTTTGTTCTATTTCCCAACAATGCCTTTTTTTTTATTCCATCTCTAATCCTCAATGTGCCAAAGTAGATCATTTCAAATATTCATGATGCAATTCAACCTACCTTCTGAAGAAATATTTCCATACCGGTTATTTACCCCTTCTACAACAATAAAATCACTCTACCATTTTCCAGATACTTTTATTTACAACACCACAAAGGTGGAAGCAATCTTTGTGATTGATTAGTCCAGGTCTGTTTTTAAATAGAGGTCTCAGAGTTTTGGAGAGATGAAATGTTTATCCAAACTCATACAACTGTAATGCAACTCTTTTGACTCTTTCCTCAGTAATTTGTCCTGTTGTTGTTGTTGATGATGATGATGTTTTTTCATGGAAATCTTTTATTCTACTGTGTTTATTGCTGTTTTGTTTTGTTTTATAGGAACAAGGAGAATTGCCACTCTTTCTATGATGGGGGGTTGTTAGTGATCCCAACTCACTTAGGAACAACAGTGGAGCAGAGGCCATCAGATCCTGAAGACCCTAGCCTGGTCCAAGTTCTACCCAGTCTGAAGAGTGACCAGAACCTCCTTTGGAAGAAGGACATGGGGTGTTTGATGAGTATACCTGTCTGACAGGAAACCATAGAGTTCTACTCTTTAAAAATAT